GATTATTTTTTATGTGTGTTGGTGTTATGTACTTGATGTTATGTACTCTGGTGATGTACTCAGTATGACAAAAAATAATCAGACATATAGAATACACTGATATAGAAGGAACTAGACTCAGTTCCGAAATATCATCAACTCGAACCGACTTGGCACATAGCTCAGTTGGCAGAGCATTGGACTAGTACCCCAAAGGTTTCGGGTTCAATTCCCACCGTGGCCACGCTAACTTTTCAGCTTGCCCAGTGTGGATTCACACTCAGAGTAACATCACAAACATCATATTCACTGAGTACATAACGCCAACACACACAAAAAATAATCTAGATAGAAATTATGAAGTGATGTATATTTTTGTAGTGTAGCTACAGGAGAAGAAGTACAATATTTAGGCAAAAGTGTAAGTTGTGCATGAAATGCTTATTTCACTCAGTTATATATTTCCTTGTTGCAGGATGATTCTGAAATTGCTCCCAAAATATCAGGATGCTCAACCCCTCGTCTATTGGCCACTGGACCTCTGGAAGAGATAAGTTCGATTTCATTGATTGCAGAGGGAATGGTTGTAAAAAATTCAGATACGATCCGTGTAATATTACCAACGCAGTGGCACGTTTGCTTGCAGGGTACTACGTTTTAACATGCAGTACCCAAAAGGGGCCAACAGGTCATAGGAAGAACATTTACATGTTTTAGTAATTTAGAACATGTTCTTTTGGGCAATAATTGCCATACCGGTACTTTACCAATTGACGTGGAGAACTTCCTAAGCTAAAGGATTTTATGAACACATTAAATGGAACAATTTATGCTAATGAAATTTATGATAATGATGATATTGTATCACTAATTTAATGCATGTATTGTACATGCAGGATATATTGTCCCGAGGAGAGTTATGACCCTCACAATCATGGGCTATTTCTGTGAATGTTTCTATATAGTACAACTCTAAACTATATACAGCTTACAAGCTAATGAATTGTGTGAGATAACCATTGTTTCTTCTATATATGAAGAGCTTTTTACTTTCACAATATAATATGACCGCATGCCATCAAACTCTGCTCCACTTCCACTTTACTGTTTTGTAATTGTCACACACTGGAACTCAATTATCTCGTAGATTATTTTAATTATATATTATATATAAGACTTATGCATTCCTTAAGAAAAATACATGATTTTTATCAAAGTACTGAAATTGTTTTAATATTTACTAATTTGACTTTGAGTCAAATATTGATTTTAACATATTTGATTTTAACCTATTTGATTTTAACCTATTTGATTTTAACCTATTTTTTTTAGGTTAGATCAACCGCATGTAACCTATTTTATAGGGCTGGTTTAGACTCATGGCCTTTACCATTTTTTATGGGTTATTTCAACCATAAAGAATAGGTTATATTTGTATTAACCAAAACTTATAGGTTAAATTAACCAAATATTATTGGTTAAAATGACCAAATATTTATAGGTAAAAACAACCTATATTTATTTGGCAAAAACAACCTATATCTCTGAGTAGATTTAACTGTTTAAATTTAGGTTGTTTTAACCTAAAAATAAATGTTATAATAACATATTTTAAATAGGTGCAATTAACTATATTAGAGGTTAAAATAACCCACTAGAAATGGTTTGTTTTAACCTATTTAGTTTTAGTTATTTCTACCTATTTAAATAACCTATTTTAAACCGGTTGTCCTAGACCAACTGAAATAACCTATTTTTTTTGGTTATTTTAACCTATCAGTTTTTACAGTGCAGAAACGGGAGAAAAACCGTTCAACCTTTGTATTGTAATACGATGCGAAACAATCCAATGTGTGTGGATCCCCCTCCAAAAAAAAACCCACAGGAAATTTGCCAATCGTCACAATCCTTAATTTTTCTTGGGAAATCAGCTTGTGTGTTCAATGCTCATGGAATCCATTGATTACTCAAATCAATGTTGTTTGCCAAACAGGATAAAAATAAATAAATAAATAAATTTTTATGCAAGTGTATGTATATTATAAAGTCAACTTCATACTACGCACATTGACAATCTTCGTAGTAGATTGATTATCCGTGAACCATTTAATACGGAAATTAAACAATTTCCCCTCCAGCGACTTCTAAACTGTACAGCATTGTACAGTATGGTAATCAGTTCACGATGTGTTGAATTACAGGATACCTCCTCGGTGTAAACATTTTTACCAAACCATTTGGTTCTCACCCTTTACTAAAATGCCCCATGCACAAGTATAATACGCGTTGGCGTCAGAATAAATAATTTTTTGTGTGCTATGGGATTGAAGCAGTATTCACTGTGTACAAAGCAGCTACTGGCATTTGACAATGTCTGGTCATTATGCGTGTAAGTCTGCCCAACACATGCAGAGCCCATGGAAATAATAGATTATTTTAGCTAATTCACGAGCACATTTTGTTGAAAATTCAATGGCATTGCTAAGCAAAGATGCGGCTTTAGAGATACGCTTATCAGCTACAGAAATATTCCCACTTTTCGAATTCCACTTCATTCCAAACCATTCTATAATGTGCATTGCGTCCCAAACACTTTTTTCTTCCGCTACAATAAACCCGCAGCGAACCAATCCCCTCTAATATGAGGGGCTGCGTATTCAGCTTTCGCAACCGTTTCTTCTATGTATCGTCCAAATATACTAAGGATTGGAAACCCTTGCTTCTCCACAATTTTCAAAGGGGGCGCAATAATTTGGTAATATATATTAAGCAGTTGGCAACCCAAAAAGGTAATATGTTAAAGTTGAAACTATATCTTTGTACGCCGTTTATAAAAGTCCAACTATATCCCAAATATCTCCTAAATAATGCTCCGAGCCTCCGGAAAAATATCTACGTGGCGATATCCGCTTTTTAGATCAAGATTTGTCATGAAACCGTTTAAAGTAAAAAAAAATCTAGGGCTTTCTTACGATCATCAAACTTTACCGTCTTCTTGTAAAGGCATTTTTTAGATTTAGGATAAGTCTTGTCTCCCCTGATGGCTGAACTGACGCTGAGAGAGTACTGATTACATGTAATCATGTCTACATTTTACTTCAGAAATCCGGTCTCCTTCTAATAACTCATTTATTGCATCACTAACAAAATCGCTATGCGATTTTGTTGAACGATTATTCAGCTTGAAAGAATATGCTGGTTCAACTAAGAACAAAATCTTATACCCTTCACGTATCGTGTTTAGAATAAATTTGGAAGCCTCGATCGCTTCCCCAAACTGTTTCTTGTTGTTTTAGACTATACCCCGTACTGGACAAGGCCGTATGGGTAATAAAATTAAGATCAACTTCATACCTATAAATAAAACAAAAGAAAAACGTATTCTGCAGTTCAGTCAAGTGTAGGTTGTAGTTGCCGAGAACGTGAAGGATTATTCTATCATAATCACTTCCTTTTATATTCTATACTGATGCTCACAGAAGCATGACGTTTCGCGTCATGCCTTCAAACAATAGGAAAATATATTTTCATTCTCCCTCATGGTATTCGTCCGAATGAAAAGCATTTTCCTATTAATTCGCCATTCCTCTGTACACAATACAATAACCAAACTAGTTTGTTATTATAGGCTAGGCTTGTCTTAGCAAACAAGCCTATTTGAAATTACAAAGAAAGCAAGCGACCTGCACACAATTACCTTGAAAAAAGCTGGCGACCTCACACCGCGCCATAGGGAAACTCGTAAGAGTTCGTTCGCTGTCGCTTATTCTTAGTTTGCAGCAATTGCTTTTTCTTCCTGGCGGCTTTATCTTGTGCCTTCCGGATTTCTTGTCGTCTTCCGAATCATCAGCCAATTCGTCACTTTCATATTCCTCGACGACCAGCCAACCCGCATCACTTTTATTGGCCAATTTAATCAACTTCTGGCGCTTATGTATCAATACCAAAGCTTTTTTAGCGTATTCCAACGCCTGCTCGCGATTAGGATTTTCTTTCGCAAGATGTTCTACCATGGAAACAACCAAATCTTTGACTTCAGCATTATAGATAAACTGTTTGGCGTTCGCCTTATACTTAAACTTTAAAGGCGTCAGCCTCTCGTTGTAATTTCCTAGTCGACGCTTGAATGTCGTTCGTTTCAGGTTGATCATGGTTCGCCGATTGTAAAGAATTCTCGAGATTGCTTAATCGTGTATCAATATAACTTTTTAATTGTTCAAAGACTTGCCCAACTTGACCATCTGTATTTGGGCTGAAAGTCGACATTTCTCGAATAGATAGCAATAGACTTCGAAGTAATGAATAAGAAAAACGTATTCTGCAGTTCAGTCAAGTGTAGGTTGTAGTTGCCGAGAACGTGAAGGATTATTCTATCATAATCACTTCCTTTTATATTCTATACTGATGCTCACAGAAGCATGACGTTTCGCGTCATGCCTTCAAACAATAGGAAAATATATGTCATGCTCATTTTCCAGAGCATGACTTGAGCCTTTGTCCTTTAATACAGTCTTTCTGTTCGAGATAATTCACGCTCGAATTAGTCGAATACTCCGTTCAGGTGTCAACTGATCAAGGTGGGTGAATTCGCATTGTATTAATTTGCATTTTAATGGCTTCAGGAAGCGTGACGGCTTCCACAGAGGCAGATATTGTAAGTGATATGCTGAAGAAACCTTAAATTCTCTGCTCGTCAATAAGGCGAGCAAAATATAATTGTATAAGCACAACGGCCAATGCCGAATTTACAATCGATCACTGGAGATAGAAGCTCTCAGGAGAGTTGATACACAAAGAAAGATTGGCTTTGTGGTAGTTTTACTGTATAACCAAGAAGGTAGTGTTTTGCTGGCCATGTTAAATATGTACCTATCAATGTTAAACGCCAGAGGTGTGTGTGTGGGGGGGGGGGTTAGAGCATATGTGGGGTACTGGGGCATTTGATTCTTTGAGCACATTTTCAATCAAATGCCCCACCGTCGGGCAATAAATATTGGTCAAATACTTCACCCTTTTGCAATAAATTGCAATAAATACTATATTAATAAAAGTCATTTGGTTCACATTGCCCTAACTCAGAGGCCCACCAAGGGGTTATGACCGACAGGGTGGCGACAGTCTATGTACAAAAGAGTGACAAACGACAGCTTCTGACTGGGAAAAAGCGAGAAATTGTGATTTGTGTTATGGGTCAAAAGTGACAGTGACATTTATTGCAATAAAACAAGCGACAAACCCTGGGTTACACCCTTGATAGGGCCTCAACTCAGGCCCAAAATGCTAATCAAAATCCCCAGGGTGGGGATGCAATTGATTATAAAATACCCCACATATGCCTGACCCCCCTCAGGGGCTTACCATTGATAGGTGCATTATTATAATCCCTTGAAATTATATCAGGGAATATTAGATTTATAGGGGAAATATCTACATGAAAGTGGTGACCTCAAAATAAAATTTAATATTTCTTTTACCATAATTACCAATATCAGAGTTATACGCCTGTATTGTAAAAGCTCACTCACACTCAATGAGTGGAGGTTTAATCTGAGCTTACCTTGAGTGTCAATGTTTTTTTTGAATAGGTGGAGGGTGAGTAGTCACATAGTAAGGTTCAATGCTAACTCCCCAGCTTTGCTAAAACAGCAATGGCACTCAAGAGAAGCTCAGATCGAACCTCCACTCATTGAGTGTGAGTGAGCTCTTAGCTAGAATACAGACAATAGGGGAAATATCCACTCAAATGTGGTGACTCATGATATAACTATTCCTGGGGAGATAACCACTTGACTTCAGTGTGGTGACCCCAAAATACAATTTCATATCTTGCTTTTGCTATAAGGTCTATTAATTTTTTTAATAAAATGACCAGAGTTATAAGGGAAATATCCACTCAAATGTGGTGAGTCCATGATATAACTCTTCCTCGAGAGATAACCACTTGACTTGAATGTGGTGACCCCAAAATATAACTTCATTTACATGACCAGAGTTATAAGGGAAATATCCACTCAATGCGGTGAGCCCATGATACAACTCTTCCTGGGGAGATATTAAACCACTTGAATGTGGTGACCCCAAAATATAATCTCATATTTTACTGGCTATAAGTTTTATTTTTTTATTAGATGACCAGATTTATATGGGAAATATCCACTCAAATGTGGTAGCTCATGATATAACTTTTCCTGAGGAGATAACCACTTGACTTGAATATGTGGTCACCCTAAAATTTAATTTCATATCTTTTATTGCTATGAGGTCTATTAATTTTTTTATTAGATGACCAGAGTTATAAGGGAAATGTCCACTCAAATGTGGTGAGCCCATGAAATAACTCTTTTTGGGGAGATAACCACTTGAATGTGGTAACTCCAAAATATAATTTCATATATTTCTTTTACTATAAGTTTTATTTTTTTATTAGATGACCAGAGTTATATGGGAAATATCCACTCAAATGTGGTGGCTCATGATGAGTGATGACATGTGGTGACACATAATTTCCATGTTATTCTTTTACTATTTCTATATTAATTTAATAGACTTGCACAGAAAATTACACCAGTCTTCACCTCACCGGTACAGAAAGTTTGTCTCGCATTTACATAATAGTCTATGGCTTATTGTATGCTTTCATGTACTTCTTTTTCGTTGGAAATGACGATTGTCGTTCTAGTGCAGCATTATAACTTTTTGATTATTGTTTGCAATTTGCACCCAATCTGAGACTGAGCCTGCGAGTGAAGTTATAAAAAAATTAAACTCGTTTGAGTTATTTGTAATGTAATTAGTATGCTGTTCATGCTCAAATAAAATAATTATTACAGATTGTTTCTATTGTGTTTTTATTATATGAATTTCCATAGTATGGAAATTCATATAATAAAAACACAATAGAAACAATCTGTAATAATTATTACGTTTCGCCGCACAAAACGCAGGAAATTAAGTTCCAGTGACGCTAAATTGCCCAAATGTTTTGCATATATAAATATGAATAGATAAATGTCTGAAAAGGCCGTTTCCGACGATCTAGGGGCCCTAATTTTTAATTTTTTTCTGGCTCGGCGCCAACCATGGTGGCGCCTCGTGAGCTTGGTACTCAGCGAATAGCATGACCAATCATTTTTTCCTAGCTACGCTA